AACTCCCTCCACTTGTGTTCAGAGCTGAAAAAAACCCAAATACTGATCTTAACAGAGAACTAAAGCACAGGTAATAGACCCTCTTGAAAAAGCAGAGCAAACTTGTGTTAAACAGCAACATGATGTTAAACAGTGCTTTACAGTTAGTTTACTGTAAAGAAATGAGGAGGGTCAGAGAAGGGAAGACACTTGCACAAATAAAGGCTCCATGCCCTAAGTCAGTGACAAAACAAGGATTCTCTTGCAGGTTTTCCCACTGGATGTACAGTGCCCAATGCAGTCAGGGGTGACAGCATAGTACACTTTTTCTCACAGAAGAAGATGGTATTTCCATAAGAAGCCATATATAAAGGCAGTGGAGAAAAAACTTCAAAGCATTACCTAGTCAATCTTCTTGCATTTTCCTAAACACCCAGGTCCTGAATACATAGTGCTCAGGAATATTGTTTTTTCATCCCGGGTAGCATGATCCCTACATAAAATACTGCTTTTTTAGCATATAGGTGCTCGCTGTATAAGTCAAGAGAATAAAATTAAGACAATGCCCTGCAATAAGAGGTTGCCCCTGAGGGCTATGCAGGTAGCTTTCATTTCCTTTAGCACACACAACACTAATTTCATACCTTTCTAATCCTAGGCAGCGTTTCCTTGAGCCCAGAATTCTTTCTTTTACAAAAAGATAAAACCTTTAGGGTTTACTCTAAACCTGGTGTCAGCAAGCAGTGGCCTCAGTGGCCCAATCCATAGTAAAAGGGTTCATGGGTAAAACCCCCACAAAGCAGCCCCACTCACTCACCAGCCCACTGGCACATCTCTTGGCATCCCATGGCTCCTGAGCAGTCAGCAACCTTTCTGACCAAACTCAAACCTGGCAGCTTCCTCAAATCAAGTTCCTGCTGTTTCACTTCACAGCTCTCCCTCATTAAGGTAACAAGACACGAAGCTCCCAGGCTCTCGTTACTACTGTCCTGCCAGTCCTGGTAGGGAATCAATTCCACTGAAGTTGTGTAACACACAAAAACCAAATTCTGAAAAGAAGTCATGTAGGAAGGAAAAATCCTGAGATTTCACCTTGATAATCACTAACTACCAAGCTACTATCCATTTTGTTGCAAAGGAGGTATTTTGCTATCTTTTTATTTTTTTCCTGGAAATTTGACTATTGGTGAAATTGAGAAAAGCTTGTTAGGGTTTTCTCACTGGAAGATAGGTTACATCACTGGAAGATTCCCTATATGCTCCTGTGTGAGTTTTGCACAGAAATACGAATTTATTTTGTTACATTTAGCTGCTGAAAAAAACGCTGGTGTACAAGATCTCGTGTTGCAATTACTTCTGTGAGTGTTCTGTGGTACAAGTAGCAAAGACAAGACCATGACAGGGGGGTCACTATGATAAAACTTTGCCCCAGTCACTGGCAAAAGTTTCAGTTGAACAATGTGCTTCCCATTTGCAAACACTGTTAAAAACAGGTTTTATTAACATCAATAAAATCTCCCTAGAATTCAGAAAAAATCTCCTATTATAGCTTTAAATAATTCAAGCAAATTGAACACTTTCCTGAATATATTCTGAGATAAGAATGTTTTCAAATTCTTTGAGAAAGGAAGGGGGGGAAAAGGCTTAAGTATTAGGGTAAACTTACATAAAGTCCTCCCAGTACATGAAAGAGTAGCTGTCACTCTAAACAGTGTACATTTAAGATCCCCACCTCAAAACAAAGATACTCCTTTGCTGGTTTGCTACTGTGCAGCCCCACAACCAGACCATCTAGGACTAAATCTGAAAACAGAATTCAGGCACACTGTAGCATTTCATTGGAATTAGAAAATCCTTTGCCCTTGCAGTATTTGTAATTCTATTATGTTAAATTTAGCTGGTCAAATTCTGCTCTTACTTGTACTTCACATCTGTCAACTTAGAGTGCACAATGCATACATCAAGGTAGCATTGAGCTCAGCACAGGGAGAGATTTGATATTTGAAATACATTTTATCTTTTGAAAGCCATACTTTTCCCAATAACAAATGTTGAAACAAAGTTGCCTGGGGTCATGCAATCTGCATTCTCTCCCACTCAGATGAAGATGATATTAAGGAGCCAAAATGAGAGAAATATTGTCATTTGGTTATGGAGCGTAACGTGCTTGAATTCATTCTTCTGACACTTCGGACGCTTTGTTTAACAAGGAAATCAACATGAGCACACAAGCTCTGAGTACTTCCAGGTTGAGAGCTCGTGACAAGACTGAATTGTCAGCTGAAGGCTGTGTGTGCCACCAGGCTGACAAACACTCTGCACCACAGGCCGGCAGAGGAGCCAGTGCCTGGTGAACACAGACCTTTAGCAGCTGGTAAAACAGTAGCACTGCAGGCAGCTGCTGGCCTTATTTGTCAGACAACAGCTGCAGACATCAAAGAGAATAAAGAGAAAGAGGAAGGTGGAAAGACTGAGGTAAAAAAGGAATTAAGTCTACACTGGTTTTATGAAGTAGATGAGTTACTCTTTAATTATATAAATATATTCTAATATTACCAGTTTGCCTTTTACAAAGAAATGCTAAAGATACTTGTAAATATGCACATAGAGCACCAAGTCCTCAAGCAGCCTACTGGAGTCCCAGAGGTTAGAATTAGATGTTGAGGCCAACACAATCCTTCCCATATACAAAGTTAGGGATAATATAGTTTGGTCTTCTGAAGCTTTTCCAAACACTTCAGTTTTAACAGCATTATTTTGATGTGTTCAGTGCTACCAGCTGAAACACTGAGATTTAAATTTTAAAATGAAATTTCACAGATAAAAACATTAGGATAGTTATTTCAGCTATAATATTGGAATGCACATGCATACAACATTATATAATGTCAAATTCAAACATGCCATTAGAAATTATCAGTTGGTGTATTCAATGGCTTGTTTTCCAACTTGATTCGCACAAGAATCTCAACAAAAAATTGTCCGTCCTATTTTTTCCACATCGCATTTTTTCATTTCTAATTGTTTCTAATTCTTCATAGAAACAGTTTTAATTCAGCTAGCCAGTATAATATAGTATACATAATATTTGCAAGAGGCAGCTTCTGCAACTGCCTTTATACCCTTAGGCTTTGTGACTTGATGTCATAATGGTTTTGATTTATTAGAAGATAAACCTTTCTCAATGTTTTTTCCTTTTAAATAGTGAACTGTAAATAACCTATCCAATATGAAAAATGCTAAATAGCTCCTTTGAAATTCTAATGGAGATTGTCTACAGTTATATCACTCACTGCAGAATCCTTGTTGCTGATGCTTTACCTGCATATGTGGGATGTATAGGAACATAACCTGCACATGTACACATATCTCTGTGTTGATCTCCTAATACACAGAAATTTGGGTTGGGTGCAGCCAGCATGTTCCAAAACATAAAGAGAGATTATTTTGCTGTTTTGGGGGCTTATAGATTTTTACTTGAATATTCAAGGCAAATATACATATAATATACACATAATTCAGCCAATAGTGCCTTTGTCTTTTCCCTTATTGACAAATCTTGAATTATTTCAGTTCTGTGGTTTTGCTAGTCCAAGCTTCCTAACTGTCAAATCATCACTAAAGTAACCTTGCTGCAAAGCTTAGCTCCAGTCAGCCCTCACTTTCTATCAGCCACAGCATTTTCTGCCTATGCTTACATGTTGGTATGTAAATGTCTTGGCACACCTTGATGTCAGCAGCCAAGGCCAGATGGAGAGAGGACTGACTGGGCCATGTACCACGATCCCTGTGTTTAGACCTCTAGCTCTGGCCATATTAAACTCAACTCCTAGGCAACCAAGCCTTCCTAATTACTCCACTGTTTTCTCTTCCCTACAGGCACCATCTCTAGCACGTTCTGCTACTGACCAAGCTCGGCTCCACCAGCCTTTATTTCTAAGTCATGAGCAAAGCTTGTAGAGCTCAGAAGCTCTTTTCTCCCTGACAGCCTTAACCAAATCCCTTTTCTGGACTTGCCATTCCTCAGAACCCTGCCTGGCTTTCCTATCACCAACCCACCATTCCAGAATGCAGTTAAGCACTTATCACTTAAAATTTTAAATGCTAATTGCTTAGTTATGAAAACTTCAACTGCTAAGTGACTTGGCAGAGTTCTAGTCCATCATAATAATTAAAATTCATTTTTAAATGTCCTTAGTATGAAAATGATTCTATACTCAAGTGTGTGAAGGCCTAGATACAAGGCGGTTGTTTCAAGTTTTTCCAGGATTGAACAAAAAAACATGTGATTGAATTAGCAATTGCTAATTTGGGATTAAGTAAAATCTCAGTGTTCACCTTAGAAATGTCGAAAATAATAAAAATCATATCCCCCATTCTTTTATTTCACGTGCTTGTATTCTAAGGTAAATTGATCCCTCTCAAAAACGTATTTCTCAAGAGAAAGATACTCAGTTTGCTCCTAACCTGATATTCAGGATGGAGACTTGTGTTCTCACTTTGATAGGTTTACTACTGATTGCCAAAGCTATTGTGTAACCTGAAGAACTTTTCTCACCTTCTAAAACAGTATTCTGACCTAAATTTTCACAAATTCAGAGGAAGTACTGCCAGAAATGAAGCTGATAATTTCCTGTATATTCCGGTCTTTTACTGCAGGTGTTTATTGGAGCTGAGTAGAGATGTTTAATACAATGTCATTTGTGAGACACTGGATTGCACAGGACAAGGAAAAGGAAATAAAGGCAAACTGAATTCTTAACATATCATCAACTAATCAACTAGAAATTGGATTGGACAGAATACCTCTTTCTAGTTTTTAGAAACTGCAGAAGAAACATCATGAAAACATGCAAGACAAAGCACCAAGTCTATACTCCTTAGCATCTCTTAATTGTATTTAGTCCATGTTCAAAATCCCAACCCATCTCTTTAAGATCTCTTTCATGTCACAAGAGTTTTGCAGAAGGTTTGGACAGTGTTCCCAAACACAGAACAAGCACAGTTTCTTTTGCTTTTACCTTCAGGGCCACAATATGAGAAGCTTCTGGCACTCTGATGTTCTGTCACTTTTTAATGCAAACCCTGGAAGTTCACGGACACAACGCTGCACAATCTGAGGAAGATAAATCACAGTTACTTCAAGCCAGCTGACAGCAGTTTAAGCAGCTGCAATCATCAACCACCAAGGGAGTTTCTTCTTTTATCTTACTAAATGCAAAAGTATACCAGGAACTGGTAATATCACTGGACTATCAGGAGTCCTGCTTTTACATAAATATCAGCAAGCGGTAAGTAAATTCTGTTGACGAAATGTAATAAAACAAAGACGGTTTCAAATATGACCATTCCCTGATGCATTCTGCAGCCCCGTCTTACTCACTTATTGCATGCTGCTGAGATTATAAGGTTTGCTTTTATCTGTCAGAAATCAATATTTCAAACATCGGATAAAAGAGGAAATTGAACTGGGAATAGGCTGAAGTGCTGTAAAAACTACAAAGCACAATTATCAAAAAGCACTTAAAGTACTTAATAGGACACACATATAAAAATGCTCAAATTAATGTCAGGGAACTATAATGAGAACTTTTTCTATGCTTTTTGATCCAAATGCAATGTAATTCGAGTGCAGCCTGGTCAGTCAATACAGTTTTCAATTTATATGAAACCCTAAGGATTTCTAGCAATCCATTTGCTAGAACTGAACCATTACATATGATTGGTTAATATTTCAATTTATTGAAAATACATTATTTTGTGTAAAGTGTTTAAGTTGTTGAGGTTTAATCATTACAAACAGTTATGATAAAAATAGATCTTTGGATAAACAAAGACCTCACAGTCAAGCTTTTAATAAATACTAGTATAACTAGAAAATTGGATTTTAAAAAGAATAGACATAAGGAAAAACTGCAGATATGGGGTAGTGAGATGAGATGGAAATGTTGTATAGAACAGATCTTTATCAGCACACAGTTAGCTGAGAAGGAACCTCTTTGAAAAATGTTGGAAACTATTGTTATTTTATGCAAAAAAACCCACCCTCACTATTAATGTTAATACATTCCCCTTAGATTTATATATTCATTTATCATCTTTAATGCTATTGGGCTGGAGGTCTTTACAAAAGTATGCTAGATCAGAAATCACTGTAAATGAGTGTGTACATACCTGTATGCACATAGCAGCATCCATAGAAAACAGATCAAGTGACTTTAGAAGATTTGATATGAAATATGAAGAGCTTCAACACACAGAGGGGTTATAGATATGATTTGAGCAACCAAGATGCACTTTAACTAAATGGCTGTGTCAAACTCCTTCCTAACCTACACCTCACATTTTTAATAAGGAACAAGAAGAGACTCTTGGAAATCTTTCTTTGTGGAAAGTCACTCTTAACATTTATACTTTACTTTTACACTTAAGCGACAACACTTCATTCATACGAAGGAACCTTAGCTCAATCACAGTTAAAATGTGCTTCTTATTGGAACTACACCAAAATCCCTTAAATATGGATCAGACTTTTATTTCCACTAGCAAACTGTTTCATTAGCCAAACACCTTCCCTCCACCTTGACTCAGTATAGTTTTGAGCCTAATCCAGTACAACCTCTTGGTTAATACACGTACTTCCTCTGTCATCCAGGCTAAGTCTTCTGTTGCTTCTTCCGTTTTCAAGATGCAAAATTGAATTTCAGTCTCTAGAATCCTAATTTGGGTCATAACTGACTGCTTTAAATTCATCTTCCCTATCCTTTACATTTTTTCTTATATCTTTTCCTGCTTATCTCCTTATTAGTCTGTCTCACTCCCACCCCCCAATATATCTTTCTGAATACTCGTTTTTCCTTTAATACTTGTAAGAAATTCCATGAGCTGCTAGGATTAAGTGGGAAAGTAAATGTAAAAAAAGGTAATATTACACACAAATTGCTGTTTGTATCATGTGTTTAACAGCAATTTAAACATATAAACAAAGAACAAAGTACGCACAGGTCCTGCAAAAATAATGTATAATGCATACACAAAAAGGAAACTGAATAAAAAGTCAGAAATTTATTCATGGGTATATGGTTTGAAATATAACATATGTTTGCTATCTCCCAATGTGGCATTTATATTTTCACAGTTACACATTTTATAAATCATGTAACTGCTGGTTACTCATGAAGCTGGATAAAGCAAAAACAAAATGGGCCAAACCCTGTAACCCAAACCCTGATATGAAGCACAGAAGTTTTGTTTGAATAATGCAAATAAACATTGAGAGTTGGGACAAGTGTATCTGTATCATTTCAGACAGCTGTTGTTTAACCTGCTCCTGCAGATTTCCAAAGACAGAGACTTCTAAATTTCCCAGGCTATATATTTCAGTGCTTTATTATCTTGTATCTTGCTATTATAAAAGTTGGGTCGTTTTGTGGGTTTTCTTAAGTCCTATCAAAATCTTTGCTACCATAATTGCAGTCCTACTTCTTGGCCTATTTTATGTGATGAAGAAGAGGTTATAGTATTCCTTTTTGCAACAGATTTGATTTTGTAAACACAGCCATCACACAGCTTCTTTCCAGCACACAGGTTCTGTGAATAGTACAGTCAGGCTCTGATCTAGACAATTAATGACTTATGCAATTCTCCAAGTTAAGCAGCACAGTAAACAGTAAAAATCTGTCTCTAATAATTCTGGTCTTGTGTATGCTAAGCAAAATGTAACATGATTTAACTGAGGGAACTGGGAAAGAAATCCCCTAAAAACAGAGTCTTCACATGTAAAAACAATGTTGACAAGACTAAAAATAAATAGATTGCTTCAGCTGGATTCTGTACTCATTTGAATGGTGTCTTGAGTTTTTGGATTTCCCAAACCAAGAGTGGTTTCCTAAATCAACAGAATCATCACAGAACATACAACCTTTTCCAAATAGTACATCTTTCCAAATAACAAAATAATAAAAATTATTTTGTTTTAAAAAACAGTCTGAGTAGAAAACATACTATGATCCGTTAAGGCAATTGTAGTTATGGCACTCATAATTGCATAATGCACTTCACAGAAGCTTCTTCTGCTGCACCTTATTGTATTTTTTCCTTCAATTATTAAATTCAGAGGCTTAACATCAAAAGCAAATGCACTTGTCTTTACATGCACTTGAATTGTTACTGCCATTTAAAACTAATCAATGTTTTCTTTAGTACCATAATAGCTTATTTGCAAAGCACCTCTTTAAGAAAAATTTACATGGTATTCTGGAAGTAAACTTTTCGCATTCCAAGTAAAAACTCCCAATAAAGAGAAAGAGGGCTTTGTTCTCATCTCAAAGTTCAGTGCAACTACAGTGACTTCAAGTGCTTAAAAAATTGTGCACAAAGGGAGTTGCTACTAGATTATACCCCTCTGTTCATAAATAATACAAGGAAAAAGCTGTGCATTGTACACAATCCTTATATCCCTAGAGAAGTCCAGGAAATTCATTTTCAAGAGCTCAACATATAAATTTATGCTTTCTTTGATGCTAAGAGGAAAACAAACAGTTGAAATCTTATTATTAACCTGTGTTTAAATACACATTCCTCAGAAATTTTATATCACTCCTGACTTGGATGTTCAACTACATAAAACTCATAGGACACCAAGGTCTCATTGAGTGGTGGAAAGCCCAAGCAACTCCAGTAAAGTCAGTATATGCACTCTGAGTGCTGTTTGACACAAACAGGAATGTTCACACTACTTTCCTCTAGGAATATAAGAGAGGTTTTTAAATTAATCTCTGTAGACTCCTTCAGAAGGAGGTCAGAGAAACAAAATTGAGTAATATGAGTACACCTAATGTCTCAATATCTGCAGTTACTTAACAAAGAGAAGTTTTAATGAAGGGTAAACAAAGTTTGCACAAAACTCACAGGTAGGATTTATAGTTTCTAATGAAACATGTAAACATCTACTGCTTTAATAAGTAGATCAACTGCAGTTCAAGTTATGCCTGTTCTTAAATACATGCAAACCCCCTGAACATTTGTAAATAGAAATTATATTAAAATGCTTATGCTCAGAATTGATAATTTGAAACAGTTTGCCCCATGTGTCATGTTTGGCTTTACTCTAATACCTGTCTGTTGTAGCTCTGCAGAATATTTGGTTCATTTGGGTGACACAGCCTTTTGCAGAATAACAGTTCTGTCTCAGTGACACCTTCTGCTTATGCTTCCAGAGTCTCTACCCTTGCTTTGAGCTACACATTGTTCTCATTTGAATGTTACTAATAATAGTTGTGGCAGCAGGTGATTTGCTTTCCGATTTTAGTCACGCAGAAGATGCAGTGTGGGGCTGCTCTTCCAAGCTTTGTAGCTTTGGAAATACATCTGAAAATTACACAAGAAACTCAGTGCCTTAACCAGCAGAGCTGCAGCATGAACTGGGTAATTGCATGCATGGCTAAGTACAAAGAGCAGTAGCAGAAGGGAAAGGCCTTGTGGGCAAACAATGGTATTCCCTTTCCCCTGTACATACAGAATATTTTTTAAAATATGACTCTATTGCAAATATAATGAGCAAAATGAATGAATTTCAAAACAAGAATGCAGACTTTGAACAACAAGGACAAGTTGTTCACCTGACCAGACAGTTTACAGAGAGAATTTCTTACCTGTGAAAATGAGGCGTTCAAAAATACATGTATTTGAAGATGAGCCTAGAAAGAAGAAATAGACGTTAAAAAATTCCAAAGTTGCAATTAATAAAATAAGCTGAGTTGAGGAACACAGAGGACCAAGCTTTGCCAAAAGGAAGAAACAGAACTATAATTGAGGGAGTGCCACAAAGTAATGCAACAACCTATGCCAAAGCATTTGCCACCAATTGATTTGCTGCTGAAGACTAAACAGACTGAAGTCTTCATCCTTTGCTAAATTACATGTTTCAGAATTAATCCTGTAGCCTGCAGCAGGTAGCAGATGCTTTATAGGGTGACTTACAGCAGTCAGTCACCTATTACTGCTCATTATTTAATAGGACTGCTTTAACTCTACTGCAGTTTTGTCCATCGTTGGATACTTTCTCTTACAGGTTCATATTTTCACAGATCTTTTCCTGGATTTCAGACCTGCTTCCAGAGTATTACATTGGCTGCAGTTGGCCCAGTGTATAACAAGCAGCAGCTGGGAGAAATTTCCTGTACAATTTGTCCTAGATGGGCTTTACCAAAAGCATGATTTCTTTTTCTTGTCATCTAGTTATTGTGAGATCCCAGCTGACAAATCTGTGTATATGTTTTCAATATCCTTCACTGTCAGTTGTGTGCAGCACAAAAGGAAAATATGCAGCTTATAACCAAAAAAGTTGTTAAATTACATAACTCATTAGTATGTCACAAATAAGATAATTCTGTTTGCAAAGTTAAAAACGTGGAGAAGTTGCAATGCAGGGCAATAGGGACTAGCAGAAAGGACAGAGATGACAAATTTTCTATGTATTTGCTTATCTAGAATAGCCAAGAAATTACATCAGTGATCCCACAAATCTGAGGCAAAGCCTCATGCAACTAAAATTCACTTAATTTTTGCTGAGCTTCATTTCTTCTTTAATAAGATGAGGAAGTTTTCTTTTTCAGTTATTCTCTGTTTCTGTGAATGTGATTTTTATTGATTCATCTCTGTGGTTTTAGAGAAATTTGCATAGAACAGCAATGGGAAAGTTAATAAATTTCAGCAAATTCAAGAAACTCCACTGAATTCAGTAAAGTTGTTTCAGATTTTATTTTTCACTCTAACTGGCAACACAATTAGGTTCATATTCTTCTACAGCATCAAAAATCTGAAAATCAGTAGCCACATAATATAGTACTATTTCCTGCACAAGGTTTAAATTCTATTTTTCAGTACATTTATATCCATGAATTTGGAAACTATTACTTTTATCATCTGGCATGCACAGCCAATATTTTGCTTTTGCAATCTGGAAAACAATTTAATAGGGGCAGCAGAATAATTTTATATTTTATCACTTTCTTGTATCTAACTGCTGATGATATGTAGCATCTATCACATATTGCATGTCCTCTGCCATTATAGAAATCAATTCATCCCCCGATTTCCTTTTATTAACCAAGAATATCTTTCCAGCTGGTCTTTAATTAAATATTTCGTTAAGGATCATTAAGGAATTATAAAAACTCTCTACAGATCTCACTGTTAATCATAAGCACTTCATTCACAAGGGACTATAAATCTGAAATTTGCCTTCTTGTTTTACTACAACCCCTTTTCAGAATAGCATTGAAAAAATTACCAAAACTATCCAACAAAACCTCCTTCATTTTGCAAAGAAAATTTTCCAATTAAGTTAACATAAAATACAAAATAATCAATAATTTACTTAGAACATTTAAATAAGGTGATTGAAAAATGAATATCAGGATTTTTCCATTCTTCTTCATTTGTGCTAAAATAAAGGCAGCTCAAAATCATAGATTATTCCCTCTCTTTAAACAAGGTAGAAGGTGGTGAGACAGTGTTGGGTAGATGCACAGTAGTAATGGATTATGCAGATGTTTCTCTCCTGGGTCACTGTTATGAATCTGATCCAAGACAGCAATGACGAAATGTCAGTGTCATTTTATGGCTTTTAGCACGAAATCCTGACCCTACAAGTCACTGGCAAAACATCAGTAGTGCCAGGATTCTCACCTTTTGAATCTCTAGGGTGCAAAAGGAATTAAAGTCTGACTCAGCATGCATTGACTTTAATGGGAGTTATACCAAGTTCAAGGTGCAGATTTTTAAGTCCTTAGATGCTGCTTTGCTCATGCTTTAATGATAGTTGGATCCTTCAGATGATTCAAACACTTAAAACCATAGCATTAAAACTATAAACTTTTACCCTTAAAGTTTAATGTTCTGATGACACACATTGCTCCACTGTCTGGATTACTCTGCTTCACTAGGCTGAGCACTGGATAAGGGATTCTTTCACCACATTTATTCACTTCTCTTGCTTCTTCTTTCTCTGAAAGCAAAATCCTTGTCACAGATGACACAGGGTTCAAAACCTCTCGGATCACCATATTTGTGGCCCCCAAGAAATTTGGCAGAGGTTGTGGCTTCTGCTCTGCATTCTGTCTAATCAACTTACAGTCAAGTCCCACAATGCTCACTGTTACAAAACATGAGGTCTCTGTAGCAGAGGAATAGTAAGACTTTGTGTCAAAACGACTAAATTAAAAAAGCAGTGAGTGATTAATTGAAACGAAATCCTTACCAATTCCCTGAAAACAGTTGGAAGTGGCTTGTTATTTTATTTAATTTTTCTTTGATAGTGGTTGTTTTATAGGAAGGATGTAACAAGCCATTGTAAACCTAATTCTCAAGTCTTACCATTTTGCCTGCTTGAGCAGGTTTGATTCTGAAATGGAAATAGGAATAGAATCCAAATGAGCTGTCAAATTATAAGTGTTTATTCCAAAAGGAAACAAACTTCCAATTTTGAATGATTTGTTCATGCCCCTTCAAAATTCTAAGGTACAAAAATATAAAAATTATGTCTTGCTGTAACATATGCTTTCCAGACATATTTCACTTGTACAAATGCACAGTTCAAGCATGTGTTCCTAAAAGTATTTAGCTATGCTGAAAACCACTCAGGAATTAAACTGGATGAAAGCATGCTGAAGAAGTTGTTGGAGGTTTAATTACCTTTTCTCTTTTTTCTCTTTAGTGGGAGTTCTGAATTCTGGAGGAGTAAAACTCCAGTCTCTACTGTATTGAAATGATATTTTTTTAGCACTCCAATCATTGTCTCTACTTGACTAAGACATTTCTGTGCTAAAGCAGGTGCATTTACTTTTCAAGTATTATTTTACTAATCAATTGAAAAATTACCTCCATGAATGACAGAAGTGCAGACCTTTGGAGTATTTCATTAAAAGGAGCAAACATTAATTACAAATCCAGCCCAACCTTTGCAGACATAAATTATGGGACAGATCTATTTTCTCCATGCTTAATTGCAAGCAGTGACTAGCTCTTTAAATTATTATCTCCAAGGCATGAATGAAATTAGAATGGATTTGATGATATTCTCAAGGCTTATTTGTATCTAAATAACTTGGCCATGCAGTATCTGGAGATATAAGGAAAATTAGGTGAAACATCTTGGAGCCTTTAAACTGTGGCTAGGTTACCACGAAAAAATTGGGAATTGCAAAATGGAATTAGAAAGACCTTAAAGTCTTTGCAGATAAGGGAGGTCTAGTTACAGGTTTAGCAATGGGATAGTTAATATTGTCCAAGTATTTTTCTTCCAATCCAAATTCTAAAAATTTTAGGGTTTTGCAACTTCCTGAAGCTTTCACATTTCAGGCAGAATTTTCCAAGCAGTATCTTTCCTGATAAGTAATATTTCCATTCCAAGCAAAATACCTGTTTTTCTACTGAAATAAAACACCCTTCCTACAGAATTAAGCACGTTGAAAATTTTAATTTTTTTCAACAGCCACAGTGCTGACATGTTTGTGATCAGATCAAAATCTGGCAGGAAAATACACGAGTAAAGTGCTCTTAGTTGATCCATTGAAAACTGATTTTGAATTAGGCATGTTTGTTGATACAAATTAGAACTTCAAAGACATTCAACACTGGCCAAATTTTCAAGTGATCTTTTCTCCTGATGAATAAGTCCTTTTACAGCGTATTCTCTACTTGCTATTTCGACTTTTTAGAATACTGAGAATGAGCAAAATATTTAATTTGTTTCCATTAGCATAGTCCCAAACCTCAAATAAACAGTTAAGCTGTTTTTCAAACTACTTTACCAAATCTCTCTCTCTCTACTGAACTCTACTTTACCTATAGCAGTTTTGTAGTTCCACCTGTTTTCTAAGGGAGAAATACTGAATAGTTACTATTGATGACTGAATTATTTAAATTATTATCATATAGTAAAATGCCCTTTCAATTTCTAAATAAATGTTTGTTCAATACATGATAAAGAGAAGAGCAGAACAAAATTAAAAACTGAACATGCATAAAGCTTAAATAAATGAAAACAAAATTATTTGAAAAATCTCAGCATGAGTAAAAATTGATCTTGAAGTCTCTGAGTACCTAAGATATGGAAAACTTCTAGTCCTTCTCTGTTTATAATAATTCAAAAATTAATTCCCACAGGAAATAAGTAGCACTGTATACATGCAGAGAACAGAAGGTGCAGTTTACTCTGATAACAAGTGAAAAACAGATAGAGAATGCAAGGGTTTTTTTAATACAGTAATGAAGACAGAAATGTATATTTTTGTAAAATGTATTTAAAGATTCAGATTTTGCATTGGAAACAGAAAGCCACCTTCTGTAAGAACTATGTCCTTTATATACCACACAGGGTGTGAACAAATGAGTCCCACAAGACTCCATGGGTACTGCCTGACCCGTGTTTTTACTACCTTCTACCCCAGAAGTTAATAATTTGACATTGCATACTTTAAAAAACAAATAAATAAAATAGATAATGACTTTCTTGGAGTTCAATTGACTTGTGTCATGATACAGTAACTACCAAGCTGAGTTCTCACTGTATTAATCATTAACCTGAGAAAGGGCATTAGCTTAAAATGCATTCCTACAACTATTCATGTTTCATGAATGCATTGGTAGATATTTTAACAGAAATTTCAAATATGCTGAAGACATAAACAAGTCCAAGTACCCCCAGAAGCCAAACTCTTTTCATCTTTTAACTTTTGGATAGAAAGTTACCATCCATCTGTTGCCAGAACAGCCTCTGAAAGCTCTGCAGAGTTGGATTGTTTGAGGTACAGAGGAAGCCCAGGTCATGCAAGACACTGTGCAAAGAACAGGGCAGGGTACCTATGAGAGGAAAACTCTTCTGATATTTTTTTTTTGAAATTTTCTAAAGTGACAGACTTCTCATGCCCATAGCAAAATGTTTCTGATACCGAGTTGAAGATTCTACAACAGCATTAGAAGGTGTCTTGGAAAAAAATATATTCTGCTGAAACATTAGAGATTGGTTCAGAAAATTTGAAAATACCTGGTCCAGAACACAGAAGACTTCATGGACTTTCATATCTTGCTTAGGAGAGGGAAGGAGGAGTGAGAAAACCTATTTGCTTGCATTTTGGAAGTATTTATGTTCCCTTTCTTCTCCATGGTATTTCACCTTAATTTAAAAGTGAGGAGTTAAAGATTGATCTGGAGCTTGGGAAAAGCATTCAAGCAGAGGACCACTGGGGACACAGTGAACCCTTTAACCATACTGCTTGAGAAAGGTAGTGCTTGGCAATATATTTCTGGGAATGATAATATCATAGGTAACCTATTTGCTCTGGAATCTAAACCAGAGTACCATATTTAAACCACCTGCATCTAAAGTTAAGGTAAATATATTAAGAGGATCTCTCCGCTTACGTAGGAGTGGAATGTATGATTTTAAGAGATCTGGGCAAATTCCTCAGACTTAATATACCAGTCTATTCATGGAACATCATGTCCTTTATATTTCTTTTGAAAGAAAAACATCACTAACAATTACTGGCTTTAGCACCTTGCAGCTTATATATACTTTCTCACATAAGGAAGAAACACCTTAAGCACAGTGTGAATCTAACATGAATATAATTTATAAAATGTAGAAATGTTCGAGCAGAGAAAATAGGAAATTAGTTACATGGGAGTTTTAAAAATGAAGATCATCAAGGTTTATGGAAAACATATGACTGTGATAGAGTATGTACCTTTAATCAACAGCTACTTTTTCCCCTCTCAGAATACAGAATTGCAGACAGAACTTGGCTTCGAGCTGCAAAAATTGTGAATGGAAATAATGAGAAATGCCTGTTTTATAGTCAAAATGCAGGTAATTGATTAGTCAGACATTTATATGCACTAAAACAACATGGATTAATTATAATTAAAAACAGCGTGAGCAAAAAGCTGACCAGGGTGCGAATGTGCATCACACTGGGGATCACAAAACAAAGTGATATAATAGCAAGTTATGTGCATAGCTCTCATTCTGCACTTTTCTCCTCATTCTCCTTCTCAGTTCAGCAAATTACAAAATAACCAGTAAGAGCAGCATCAACACCAACTCCATCCAAATGAATGTGTATGGGACAGGGAAAAGCATCTATTTAGTGATTCTGAAGTGAGCTGACTCCTTGCTATGCCACCACTTCACCTTGTCATATTCTAACCTAGTTTGTTCTTGTGAATAAATATTCTTGAAATCTGACATGGGGGAACAAATTATTTTTATTATATCCACCAGTATTAACTAACTATTTAAATACTCATGTCACCTGTAAACTGTGAACTACCTTGTGGCACATCGTGTAATCAGTGTGGATTGAACTTCTGAAGAATAAAGACTCAGAATTGTGTAACTAATATTTCATCCTCTGTCCTTCTCTGACAGAGCAATACGAATAACAATTTATTTTGGCCAAAACAAGCAATTCCAGGTGAATTTATGTCCATAATGGGAGATTTGCCATGACAAACAAGAAGGGGATATAGCTACATGATTTGGTACATTCCAGTCAAAAGAGGAATATCTTAAATCAAAAGTTTCAGTAGGCTTAAATGTTCCTGCTAATCCCTCTATTAAATCTTCATAACAGTGTGACAAGCTAGAACTCGTTGTCTTCTAGTTTATTAAAAAGAGGGCAACCACTAGGGAAAATAATATTGGGAAATAAAATTTACCTTGGACTAGTTTCATGTAAACATAAAAAACCAGCTTCTCAGAACCTACATGAAAAACATAATGTAGTTAATATTAAATACAATGATTATGCAACCTATTACTTTTACAGTTTGTGCTCCTGTGTCCTTGATTTCATCCCTGTTTTGCTTATGATTAATGAATTACTCACCTTCAGTACTCTCTCATTTATTTCATACCTCATTATGAATTTGGAAAGGTCAATTTGTTATTTGAAAACAGTAAAACATGCATGGAAGTTAAACAGTGTTAAAAAATGCAAAGGACATTTTTATAAATAAATTGCTATCTTATATCACTTTTTAATAGTTTGCATTTTTTAACTGCTTTTGATATAATTTTGAAGAGTCTGCATAAATTTTTCCCATAGAATGAGGTTTCTCCCTGTATTTTATATGAACATCAGGAGTGTCAGTGCACATGCACAAACACACAAATCCTAAAATGACACCTGCTGTACTTCACTGTCTATTTTATCTTGTCAAGATCTTATGCCATAATTTTCCATGGCTTCTCATTTGTTTTTCTAGGAATTATTTTACCAAGGTTTGATACTTTATAATGTTATGTGGTTATACTTGTCAGCATTCAGGTAGGGACAAAATCAAGGCAAGAAAAATTGAGGGAAGTTTTGTGTATATAAAGTTCACAATTGCTGAAGTAAACCCCACTTAATTATTTATACTGAAAACAAAGTTTCATACCAACAGTTCACAGTATTACTTTTTTTTGTTATTGCCATATCCTTTTTCAGTTTTGATAATTATTTTCTTCTACAGAATCTGGTAGTTGCACAATACTGTCTTGAGCAGAAAAAAAAAATTGGCTTATGTGACACGAATGCTAAATCCCATTCTGTGGAGCACTCAAAGGCACAAACCAAACAGTCCATCTTTTCTCTCAGTTTACTGGAGGTAAATTCCGAAATCATTTGGGCATCACAGTCAGAAAATGATAGTTACCAACACACCTGTGATACACTGATAGCTGGGGAGTAGACTATGATATCTAGACAAGCTTAGGGTAACTCCATTTAACAGTCACTATCATAGCTGGGAAGCTGCCCTGGGGAACTTGGTATTGGTACAGAAATCTCTTGGACAGAGGGCACCTAATGCCACTCACAGCACTCACCTCTACAGCTGTGCAAAGGCAGAGTCTGTGCTGCCTGCAGAGCAATGGCCTGTGAGGCTGTTTATGGACTGGGCTACACTCCAGCTGCACACACATGCCCAGGCTCACTTTAAACTGGACAGTTAGGTGATTTCTGGCACTGCAGTTGGAGCTGTGCATGTTCAGTGTGGGTTAATCCAGTCCCTTCAGAAGACTGTGGAGTCTTCTCTTTTCTCATCACTTTGGCAATCTTGTCCACACAAATGAGAGGAGCTTCAAGTTCTGCAGCAGAGACTTGACTGTGTACAGGCACTGCCTCTAACGCCCCAGGGACAGCTGCACCCCACTCCTTCTGCAGAAGATAATCTGTGTTATGCCTTACCTTTTTCTGTTTCTGGCTCACAATGTGTAAGCAGCAGCACCTGCACCTACTATTTTTGCCCTGCTTTATTTGCAGCTGAATTATGGCTGTGTGGTTTATTCAGGTGAGGTTTATTCAGCCTGGATGCTGAAGCTACATTTGACTGAGAGTAGAACAGAAATCATGGACAGTATGAACAGACACATGAAAATCAAGCCCAACCAATTGCATACTTCTTCACTCTGTGCAACATGCATAGCTACTTACAGTGCCAAGTTCAGTAGCTTAAATATTGTGTCATCATTAAAATAATACCACTGAGCATGGTTATTAACTGCAGACTGACCTTCAGCTTTGGCTTTGTTAACATTGTAGATTTATGTTTCCCCCCAGCTCCTTCAAAACTCTTTGTACAGTGGATTATTAAACCATAACAAAACATAACTAAACAGGTTCATATATGCTTGGAACAATTCCAAATCTGTGATATTTTCTTGGAATTTTGTAAGCATGTTCATTAGAGGCCTTTACTCTTCCTTCAATTTCTGTGAAAATTCTACAAGAATCATTGTTCTAAATCACATCCCACCCATGATACAGTTTAAGATCAGTGAACAGGTTGTCCTTCAAATTAATAAAATCAAATAGCCATCCCAATACTCTACCCTTATTTCTGCCAAGCTCTGTATTAGTTTTCACTCTGAATAAAGAAGATAGCATCTTTACACATGGCAAGTGTAAGAGGTCACAATAAATGGTAAATTTGGCATGAGTTATGAAGTATGTGCAAAAAAAAAAAAATAAGGAAACCTCATCTCCTGAAAACTTCCTGAAAATAATAATAAAAACGGAGTTTATGATTGTGTAGAAACCAGAGAAAACTACACAAAGCAGGTATAATATATTATTACAATGTTTGAGTCTTATCTACAGTATAGAATGATCAAAACAAAACCATATATGCTGTAGAAGAACTGAAGTTATGTACTGATGGATTCACCTCTAAGGATTTAATCTCTAGTACATGGCTTCCCATATAAACAATGAAAGCATTTATTCTCCTTGCCTTACTAGCATGAGAGTCTACTTCTCAAAGCAAATGCTCAGAGGTAACTGAAATCAGTCTGAAACTCAGCAGGTGCTACTTCTGTTACTTCTGCACTTCTGAAGTGCAACTATTTCAAAATATCATTTATTCTTTTTTATTCTAAAAAATCCAAGATATATCTTCAAGCAACTATCCAGTCTTCATTTTGACTCCAAATGACCCATTACTCTACTGTGCACACATTTCGTTTACATTGCAGATCACTATTTATCAACACTTACCAGGGTATCAGGGCAGCCCAATCAGAACATACAGGATACAGACTTGGAGAACACACAGTGAAAACATCAATGTCATGAACATCACAACTGCAAACTGCAAGAAATGACAGAAGGCCAGATTCTGCCCTAGAGCTGCATGAGGCAAATGCACCAGTAGTGTGACTTCACATCCAAGCTTAAAATCTGAAAGTGTAAATTACACCTTTGGCACTCTCAGCTAACAGACACCTGCAAAACTGTGGGAGTTCAACCTCCTGCTCAGACGACTGCCTGCACTTTCACTGCTTTTTGAAGACTTACAACACGTGAGGATGCAGGGTAAAAAACGAGGTCTTGGGGTAAGGCAAAGTACTTGCATCTTCAGCACATTTTATAGACAGGTCTGGAACATAGGATGTGGATGCTGCAAGAGGTAATGAGGTGACTGGCAGCAAAGAACTCTGAGCTGGAGCAAATGTGAAGGTAAAACAGAATCGAAATAGTGAACCATCTGCTTTCTAATGAAAACAGCTCTACTTGTCAGCAACATCCAGAAAAAATGATTTCTTAGTTGGAGTGTATAACCGAGAGAAGTAGCTTTTTTGCTATATGAGGTAATACACTCAAATGATGTATGACTTAGAAAATAGTGTGGGTTAATGATCTTCAGCTGGATCAGGGAGTAAAACAAAGTAATTTCATAATACAGAACATGATGGATTAAATCATGTTAATACTGGGTATATACATTAAAGAAAATGATCTTTCTGGCATACTAAATGGCAAAATAAAAAGCACTTTTAGTAAGCTATATGATTAATTAGTCTGCCCTTTTATTTATGTACCATGATAAAGTAAAATGTACTTCTTCTGGTTACCTCCCAGGCAATTATTCTAAAAGTTATATTGAATACACCAGCCTCACTGTATTGCACCAGTCCATCAGGAACTGCAAGTAGGTCCCTGTCTTTGTTTTAAGTCAGGGGTTTTCTTTATTCTCTCCATTTCCTGCCCTCCTTGCTAGAAGTTATTGGGGTTTTGTGTTGTATGTTTTTAAACTCCCAGAAACATGAGCTTGAACATGATATGTTGATATATTAAAATATGTAAACATCGATTTGTCTTAGTACTGTTAATTACAGAGAATGCAAAAAATTGCAGTGAGTGAAAAGTTACAGCTCACATGTAATTCAGGCAAATATTTAAATATGAGAATGTAAATGCTCCAGAGTTCATTCAGATTCTGAGCTGTTTCATTTCCTGCCTTCACAATTTAGCTGTGTATCTTGCAAATTTCCACCAAAGGTTCAATCACATCCAAAATCTTTTAGAAAGAAGCTGGAAATGCATTTTCAAAGGAGATTTCAAATTAACATAAAAGTCTCAAATTTCAGAAAAAAATGTTACCTTCAGAGGGAGGAATATTATTTTTGAGAATTGTTTGTCTTCCAGTCTCATTATACATACTTGTCAGAAATTATGCCAACGATGTAAGACACAGAAGTTTCCTCTAGTACCAAATTTAAATGGAAGGAAGAAAAAGTATTATTAGCACTGAATTGATTTCTTTCTTAAAATCTTATGAGCCTGTAGAAACACATAAAATCTAGGAGTTAATGAAAAGACCATTTCAATTATTTTTTTTTAAAATATGTTTAGCAAGCTGGTGTACATTTTGTATTTTACTAGGGATTCATGTAGTTCTTCTTCAGACTGGATTGACTTAGATGGATGTACTAAATAACACAGAAAACCTGAAAGACCAGACTTAGACAATACTCTAATGTTAAATTCAGAATTCAGGTGGTAAGTGCTTTTAACACAGTAAAACATGTTTTTGTAAGGGGCCCAGGACTTATATGGACTTATTCTGTTCTGCTGTTCCACACACTTACACAGAAAAGTGAATCCTAAATCTTAAAGCCCTAGGCTAAAGGAAATTACTTTTAAAAAAGAACCAGCTAGGAACTACCCCTTTTTTTTTTTTTTTTTGTACACTAGTGCCAGACATTTGTCTGCTACAGCAAGCGTTTGGAGTGTCTGCATGAAATCCTTGCAAATGTTCTGATTCTGCATTATCTCACACAGAGTCCACCTGTGGATGCAGAGTCAGTACTTGCTGACTAATCTTTTGTTTATAACATCACTGACACTTTCTTTTTACTCAGGTTTTTGCCTTGCCACTGCAATGTGAAATCACAGTCAATATAAATCCAGGTATTTTCAATATTAATTCCACCTGTGCATTTTGCATTTGTGTGCTAGCACAAGAACTGCTCTATCATCAGACTCTGCAAAGGCACTTGGGTATTTCAGTGGCTGTGAGTGCAGTGAAGGTGTTCTTTCCTCCTCCTGTGTTGTCCTATGTTATATTCTCATCATCTTTCCAGGTGTACTGGGCAGTTTACAGGCCTCTCAGATTTCTGTTCAATGTGAAAAAAAGCACATGAATTTTCCTCTTGTCAAAAAGCATCTTATATCCTACTTTTCTATGATTAACACTCCCAAAAATTGTCCTTTTCCAAATGTTCTTCCTTATTCTAAGGAGGATCGTAAAGGCATTAACCAGGAACACTTTTGCATGCTACTCAGTAGTGTCACATCTGTATTACTTTTTTTAAGTGAGCAGATTTGATAAATATTTGTTTTATTTCACCAACTTATGGAGCCTGTAGCTGTTAATGATTGTTTATGTATTTATAAGCAGCTTTTCAACCTAGAAATATTGGATGGATACTGCCTAGAAATTCCAAATAGATACTGAAGTTCATAAATAGAAAAAACCTGGACACCTATTTACAATTAGTAATAAGCTTTAAAGGGGATTTTTTTTTTAAGGCATGTGAATTATTAGTTCCCAATTAGACTGCTGTGAGAATATAGAAAATGGGTGACATGTATCACAGAGAATGTGTATAAGCACAGCTTCTTCAAAGTGTTGTCCTAAAATAACATTAAATTGTTGCTACATTTTAAAGCTTGTAGGATATAACACCGTAGAGAAGTGTGACTTTAAAATTAGTGTTTGCAAGTGTCTGTGATGTAGGTGAGGGGTTTTAGCAAGCAGACGGTTTTAAACCTAAAATTACATTAATTTATTTGCTGCAATAAAATTAGGTAGATTAGTTATTGTTCAAACTGTTTTGCTACACAAGAGAACAGCTTTTATATTACTAAAAAATCCCAAAAACTCTAGAAAAATGAGCAAAGATTAGTGCTCCTGTACTCCACTACTGTTGGCAAGACTCAACCAGAAACCCAAGATATGTATAAAGAGTAATTTTGTCTCGTTAAATGACAACACTAGTGGTTCCTCTTCATCTCCTTAATTCATTTCTTATAGTTTTTCTTGTCACATCCACTTGTTTTATGGCTTACTAACTTGCAAGTTATGGTTGTAATTTATGGTCAAAATTGAGTGGTAGCAAATCACAGAATATTTTCATTGATTACCCTAAATTGTCTAATCTCCTGTATGTTTTTAGGACTTGATTGGGTGGTATTTACTGATTGCCTTCATCTAATTTAAAAATCAATCAATAGCAACAATGAGAGGTGGTGGATAAATCGAGTCTAATGCAGCATAACTGCAGCAAATATCCATCAAAGACTCATTCTCAATCAAATTTGTGGGAAGTTTTAATACATAAACCAAAATGTCTAAAAGCCTTACTTCCAGAGCACATCATTTTAAAACTGTGCTCTGAATCTTATTGCTCTTATGCTGTCTATTTAGGGCAGTTTTCCACTGCTAAAATGAACATATTTCACTACAATAAAACTGTAGCAAACAAGAAAAAAAAATGTCATCAGCTTTGGTTTAAAGGCACTTTGTTCCATCTTCCTCAATATCATCTGTATATAATAATGGAAATTAACATAACATCAGCTTTTCATATAAACTGTGTGCATTTTCTCTGAGATAAACATTCTAATAAGTGTCTTAATGGGAAATGTGTTTTTTACATTGAGAAATCAATTCATTAATGTTGTTCCTTACATTGTTCTTTTTAAAAAGCATCTTTAGTTCCCCAAGTTTTGGATGGCAAATATGAAAGAAGCTGTCTGGAAGACAGTATTCTAATTTCTTAACACTATCAGGGCAAAGACACTTCACGCAGCAAAAAAAGACAGGGAGTAAGTGCAAACCTTCTTTTCCAAGTGATGGCAGTACAAACATAAAGTGCTTTCTTTCTAATTTGTCATAAGCAAAAGCGACACCAAAAAAAATTTCTTTTTTAAGTAGGCGTGGACCTCCACTTTACATTAATTCAAGGTAAGTTTTCTACAGGCATACAGAGCTAAACAGTTACATAAACTGAGGTCAGAAGGATGTTATCATTTACAGCTGGATGAGGAGCTAGTTCAATAGCCTGGAAAAACAGGTTAAAACTGGCCTCTATTCTTGAAAGAATCTTATCTATACTCAGAAACAGGTATTCAGTGTCAGAATTTGCTCAGTAAATATTCTACGTAGATAGCTAAGGAGATTCAGCTTTTATTTCTTGACAACATGGGGCATATGATGTTAGACTTGTTAGGCAATAGGAGGTTCTGCCTCGTGGCTCCAGGTATAATACATAACCAGTGAAGGAGAGAAAACTTGGAGAACTGGGGATTTTCTGCAATTTTGCAGTTATTTGATTTTGAGTCAAGGGTGTTTATTAACAGATCAACATTCTTTTTTACTGTATTTAAATTCAAGCATATAAGACAATAAGTATATCCAGGGAACAAACTCTGAAGATAGGACGTAAGAAGAAAAAGACATCTATTAAGCAGAACTTTGAAAGAAAAAGCACATATTCTTTTCCTAGATATTAAAAAAGACAAGGGTTCTTGATTAACCAGAACCAAAATGCTGAAGCTGCACACATCAAAGCCTGGGAATTCTTTGCTCTGTGTTAACTTTACAGCTGACCACTGTCTGAGACAAGAATCACCACCTGTGATTCTTCATATTTCCACAATCCAGATGAAAAGACAGAGAGAACCTGTATTATCATGATATCACAGTCGTATTTTCTTTCAAGCGTTGAATGAACCTCATATTTGTAAGGATTGTTCTTCCTAATAGTATTCTCATTCCCTTCTACAATTTTGATTCTGGCTGAGATTAGGAAAATGGAACAGTGCTGAGATATTAAAGCAGGGACTCTGAAGTTTGCTACGCTCTCTAAGCAAAAGAAGGAAGAGTAAGGCACTTATAAAGTGCTGTTCTTTCTTCAGAAAATAATGTCCAAACCTTTGAACAGTACTGAATTCAGTCAGATTTTAAAAATCCATGTTTTGGTCTGTATCTAAAGAAAGTAAAAGTTATATGGCTACAATCCACCACCCCTACAAACCTAACTGCGGATATGTACCAGACTGGGCAAACACCACAACATCTGGAAAATAAAAATTCTGTTCTAATCAATTGTAAAATATCCTTTGTTGCTAAACACTCCTGAAAAATCTCTGGCCCAAGCAACAGATCACAGCACACATTACAAATATAAAAGACAACCACCAAAGAGAACCCTACCAGCAGCCCGCGGTTTATTAAAATTCTGACATTCTGAGATATCTTCTTGCCAAGGGCCCTCTTACAATGACATCTGTACACTTGTCATTACACTGCAGTTCACATTACTTACATAAACATGCCACAGGGAAACCATGACTGATATAATTTTTATAAGATTGAAAGGTAGCCATTGTGATCATTAAAACAAACCTGAGAGAGCCTTCCTGATGATGGAACAGATTCAGTTACTTCTTCCTTCTTTGTGGGTCATTAGTTAAAAAAGGGAAGGTGGAGGAGGAGGGAGGGAAGGCCATATACTGCAGGTGTTTTATCCTTTGTGAGGAGACTGCACTGAGACAAATGATTCTAGCTGGCATTTTGTACACACCGGAGATTGCTTATCGATCCAGATCAGAATATTCAGGCTGGCCCCGGGGAAAAGGCAGAGTATTTTCTGAGGGAGTTAATAACCTGGCAGCTGAGCTGTCTTGTCCAATTCACTGAACCTAGGGCTCTAATCAGGCCAGAGTTTTTATTTTGAGAAATCTTGCCATATGTGTCTGCTAGCTGCCTTCCACTCTATTGGACCAGTGACAGTGATTGAAATGACAGCCTATAGATAGAGCCTAATCAAATTGTTTATTATCAGCCTAAATCAATATGTATAGATTGTTGAAACATCACTGTCATGCCATGAAAAAGTCATACATGCTGCAGGTGTAATTCTAAAATGCATTTTTCCGTCCTAAATTATGCCCGAATTTAACAGAGTAAAAGAAATTAGACATGTATGAGACAGTGAAAAATATACAGGTTTACACATCTCAATAAAATAACATTAAGGATTAATGTTAAAATGCCATGTTGTGCATTGCTTAACTATGTTATCGTGCTCCTATACAGAAGAGAGGCAGCAGAGTTGTGGCAAAGGAAAAAGGGATTGAAAACAAAAGTTGTTTCACCTTTTGCATAGAAAGGAAAAAATCTCACAGAGGTCTGTGCAAGCACGTTCTGCAGCACGAATCAAATTCCAACACACCTAATAAGAAAGTTTTGAAGCACCCAGACTACAGAGATGAAACATACAATAATGTGAATGAATTCCTTTGGTACTACACAAATACTCCTCCCAAGAGACTACCAAAGAGCTTGGACCATGAAGTCTAATGATTTGGTAGGGAGTTGATTTCTTAAAGCCCTATTTTCAGAAGACTTTTGGGTACTCTTTTTGCATAGTCTTTTTGCATTACACAGAAAGATTAAAAAGTATTTAATAATATGTCATGAATCAGATTCTAGAGGTTTAATTATCATCTCAAGCAGAATTATTCAAACACTAAAAAATGAGAAGAAGAAGAGATAAGATTCTTGAGGGCACAGCAGTGGATGAAAATCTCTCAGATTTGGGAGAGGACCAGTAATCTTTCTGGCCCAATGGAGCTCCCCTGAGTGTATAGATATGAAATTCTTCTCTAGTGTAGTCAACCTGAAACGGATAATCTCTGGAGCATTTATGGCCCAACAAGGGTCAACTGTGTAGTTCATAACTTCTGAAGTTGGTCTACCGGCAGAATTTTGCACTGCAGAATATGTCCCATGGAATAATTTATTGCCTTGCTCCTCAAAAAAGAAATTTCAAAACTGCTTTAAAGTACTCTGGCAAGGCAACAGGCTGTAACCTTAGAGTAAAATATATGGTTTTCCCTGAAGAATGGTGTAAAGTAACCTTCTGGTTAATTAATCTTTGCCATGCAATTCACTGTTGTTTGAATATCATTTATACTGTGTAATTACTGGGTTGAGTCAAACATGTAACAATTTTTAGCATTACAGCATACATGTCAATAAAAATAATATTATGTTGTAGGTTATACTGATTTAGAGAGGTATTTTTTTCCTTGGATAAACGTACTTTTACTGGAGAGCACGGAAAGCTCTCCAAACAGCAATTATCTTTGGCTGAATGAATCTAGGAATTTTCCTATTAAATTCAAAATACGAATTTTTTCATT